GAGAGAAACAGAGATAAATATACATACATGTTCATATAAACATAAACATACAAACATACACACGTATTTATTTATATACACACACCCCTATATACAGAGAGATAAAGGGCAAGAGAGGGACCATAACCATTAGTTAAGGTACTTTTTTATGTTTGTTTATTTAACCTCATATTTATTTAACCTTATATAACCCTACAAGAAAAAAATGTTTTATGTGCAAAACTTATCCAAGATCAATTTTTCAAAAAACATATGTAGCAGAGCAAACATTTGAACACAGGTCTGTCAAATGCGTGCATTCACGCGCACACACACACACAAAGCAAAAATGAGTCTTCATTCCATGGTATGCTTAAAATAGGCTTTAGATAAATTCTAAGTATTGTTTTGTTCCTGTCTCTTCAATTGAGAGAAAAAATAATTTCTGGCATTATGAAGAAACATGTTTTTTAAATCAAAATCTGATTTTATTCCCCAAATTTCAATATGGCAAAGGAAAAGTTACTACAAAGATAATTCTTAGCTAAATACATTCAAAATGTAATTCTTTGGTAACCTGAGTTTTGTCCAAGACAAACCTAACTGTAAGCATTTTACAATACCAAGTTTTCAGAGAAACATACATACATACATACATACATACATACATAATAAATAAATGCAACAGTGACAGATGCATTCTCCCTAGACATGTGCGTGGAGCCTAGCTATATCCAGAGACTGAAGAGAGGGACATTTTTATATTTCATTTTTATGAATAATAAATTTCTGTTTTTGTTAATGTCAACCAGTTAAATAAGATTATAGTCACTCTATGGAAAATTAATCAATAGAATATGATAAGAAAGAAAGAAGAACATAAGGAGGAAAAAGAGAAAGGGAAGAAAAAGAAAAGCAAATTTTAAAAGGACTAGAAAAAAGTCCACATCAGGTATTTTTCAACTGAAATTATATTTGAACATTTCTATTGAAAGAAAGACTCCAAAAAGCATCTGTGTTTTTCATTTCTTTAATAACAGACTAATGTTAAAATTAATGAATTAAAGTACCACCTAAGTGAAAAAGTGTTTCTGGGGATGATAGGCAGCTGCATGAAATGTAGTAAAATTTAAGGTGAGAAGCTATAAATGGTTCAGTAAAGGTGAATAGTTCGCTACTTTAGAATGGATTGTGGTTAGATCATGAAAACATCTATGTTGAAATTCAAAACTGAAATATCTATCTTCAAGTAAAGGTAAGTTTATGCTAGGCAAATAATATACAGGTATTTTCCATCCTCTAAAACTCCCGTGTGCTCCACCTGTTCATGCTTCCCTCCCCGATACAAAGCCCTGGCCCCCACTGATCTTTTTACTGTCTCTATAATTTTGCCTTTTCCAGAATGTACAGGATGTAACCTTCTCTGATGGCTCCATTCACTCAGTGATATTCATTTAGGGTTACTCCATGCCTTCTTGTGACTTAATAGGTCATTTCTTTTTATCACTGAATAGCATCCTTTGTATGGATGTACCACAGTTTGTTTATCCATTTACCTATTGAAGGATATCCGGGTTGCTTCCAAGTTTGGACAGTTATGAACAAAGCTTCCATAAACATTCTTGCGCAAATTTTTGCATGGACATAAGTTTTCAGCTCATTTGGGTGACCACCCTAGAGCACAACTGCTGGACTGTATGATATATATTGTATTGTAGGTACGTTTAGCTTTGTAATAAACTGCCAAACTGTTCTCCAAAGTGATGGCATTGCTTTCCATTCCCACCAACAATAAATCGGTCCTTCCTGCTCCACATTACTGGCAGCATTTGGTGTCGCCTGCATTTGGGATTTTAGCCATTCTAATAGGTGTATATAGTAACTTAATTTGAAATTCCCTAATTAAATACATATTGAGCATCTTTTAATATGCTTATTTGCCATCTTTAGATCTTCTTTGATTAAATATTTTTTAATTGGGTTACATGTTTTCGTATTGTTGAGTTCTCTGTATATTTTGAATACAAGTCCTTTATCAGACATGTTTTACAAATATTTCTTCCAGTCTGTGATATGTCTTTTCATTCTCTTAACAGTGTCTTTCTCAGACCAGAAGTTTTTCATTTTAACAAAGTCCAACATCATTTTTTCTTTCATGGGTTGTGCTTCTGGTGTTTTATCTAAAAAGTCATCACCTAACACAAGGTTACTTAGACTTTCTCCTATCTTATATTGCAGCAGTTTTATAATTTTTCATTTTACACTTAGCTCATTGATCCACTTTGAATTCATTTTTGTAAAAGCTATAAACTTTGTGTCTAGATTTATGATTTTTACATATGGATGTCCAGTTGTCCCAGCACCATTGTTTGAAAAGGGTGTCATTCTCCACTAAATTCTTCTTTGTCAAAAATCAGTTGACTTATACTTGTGCAGGTCTATTTCTGGGCTCTCTATTCTGTTTCAATGATACATAAATTATTTCATCAATAACATATTGTCTTGATTACTGTAGCTTTATAAAATGTCTTGGAGTTGGAGAGTATCAATCTTCTGAATTTGTTATTCTTCAAAACTGTGTTCACTATTCTGGGTCTTTTGCCTTTCCATATAAACTTAAGAATCAGCTTATCAATGCTCACAAAATAATTTGCTGGGATTTGATTGGGGTTGTGTTTGGATTCACAGATCAAGTTAGGAATAACTGGCATCATAATCATATTGTGTATGCCTATCCATGGACATAGAATATCTCTCCATTTATTTAGATCTTTGATTTTCTTTCATCGGAATTTTGTAGCTTTCCTAGTATTGATGTTGTACATATTTTTTTAGATTTATACCTGTGTGTTCTTTTTTGGTGCTAATTTAATGGTATTGTAGTTTTAATTTCAACTCCCAGTTGTTCATTGCTGACATTTAGGAAAGCAGGTGACTTCTGTATATTAGTCTTGTTTTCTGCAATCTTGCTATAATTGTTTACTAGTTACAGGAGCTTCTCTTGGTTGATTCTTTGGGACTTTCTACATAGACAATCATGCCATATGCAAATAGACCATTGTGGTTTTTCCTTTCCAATCTGTATGCCTTTTATTTCCTTTTCTTATCTTACTTCCTTAGTTAGGACTTCCAGTATATTAAATAGGAGTGGTGAGAAGGGATATCCTTGCCTTGTTCTTGATTTTAGCAGAAAAGCATCTATTGGATTGTCAGAAAAGTCATGACATATTTTTTCTGTTTTTCATTGCAAAAATACATCATGACTTTTCCAACAACCCAATGGTTTCTCACCAATGGCTTTTCATAAAGCAAATATCCATGCAACCACCAGCCTGACGAATAAATAAAACATTGCTGACATACCAGAAGTTATGGGGATTTCCATTCCAATTTCTACAAGTTTACTATTTACTTTTGTTGTAGTCACTTCTTGCATCACAAAACACTAAAGTCTAGTTCTGGAACTTTATATAAAGAAATCATACAGTATTGTTATTTTGTGTCAAGGCTTTTTTACTCAACATTATGTTTATGAGATTCAAACATTTTATCATTGCTATACTTTAGCTATTATCATTGCTGTCCAGCAGAGGGACAGCAAAATTTTTCCGAGTGGCAATATTGTCCAATCCTTCAACCTCAATTCAATAAATGAATGTTCACTACTAACCCATCAAATTTAAATAACATTTTTAAGTTTCATCACACTTTTCAATAATAAAATTGAAGTTTTAAATGAAGAGCAATTGTTTCCCGTCAGTAAAAGTAATGATGTTTGTGGTCTTTCACTAAGGTGTTTCTATCTAGTTCAATGATAAAAGAAATTTGAACTGAACATCTAAGACCAAAACCAACAAAGTTTCTTTTCAATGCATAGTTTCTGCTAAATTCAAGAATCCTAACTCACAATTCTAGATTGTCAAGAATGGCCAGAGTGTTTTGTGGTTCTATCAGAAAGTTCCAAACAATGACATTAAACATCAACCTAGAAATTATGGAGATTTATCCCTGCAGACTACTATGTCACTGCAGATGCTATGTCAATAAGAATATCACCTTCAAAACCTGTAAAGATTCATATTTCAATTTTGGAGATAATAGGAGGAATGCATAATTTGGTTGTATTCAACTCTAATCAACATTAATTTTCTACTGCATAATTTGTACTTTTTTAAATCAAAACAATACTCTATCACTGAGTTATTTCAGTGAGGAATGAAAAAGAGTATCAATTGTTAAGTCAAAGGTCTGGCAGTTGAGTCATTACATTACATTTCAAGTGCCTTATCACAAGGATGATGCACCAAGTAACTTCCAGATAAAAGTGGTGATGACAAGAAATTGCTTTCCAAATAATTTTCCTAAAACAAATTTTGCCTTTAATTATTACTCTTTCTCCCAATTTCTGAACAGCAACTGAATTCTGTGTTTCTATATAACCATTAACACACTCTTTTAAGTTCTTCCTAACAGGAAATCTGTCTTTCCAGTACACTGAAATGACAAAATTTATATGTTTTTGTAGTAGATAATGAATATGAATTCAGTCCAATTCAGTTGCACCATACAAAGTAAAAAAAAGGATTCAATGTTTCTCATACTGGAAAGTAGATTTAAATAGAAATATAAAGATAGTCTTATTCTCAGATATGAAGAAAAAAATAAAAACCAAAGTTTAGGGCAAAAAGGGAGTATGATGGCACAATTACAGATATTAAATCAAAGGAAATTACCTTGTTTTTATCAGACTACTCTCAACATTCTTAACATTTCTCTGTCAGTATATAAAATTAAAATTAATCCATTTTGCATTAAATATTATTATTGCAAAACATCACCTTATATTACTAGTGAGAAAATTTTAACACAAAAAGAAATATAAAAGTTATCAACCAAAACATTATATATTTTATAGTGAAGAAAAAAATCCCAATAATATTGTCATCACATATTTTTCTGCTAATACCTGAATAGCCACAAAAAAACTGTTGTATGAAAAGTATAGAGTACAGACGACTTACATTTGGAGGGTTAGACTTTAATTCTCTCTTCCAGGATTGAGGAGTCTTATTCTTTGTGCTTACAATGCTCCTTTCTCCAGGGTATTCTTCTACTTCCAGAATAGGTCAGGACAAAGCTTCAACAGACTTCTATTATTTGTTTGATCTAGGGGGAAATTATACTTTTAATCAATTATTACAAAAATGCATCAAACTTTTTTCTCACTGTGCTTGGGGGTGGGGGCTTCTCATTATTTTCTGTTGGATCTGAGGTGAACAGAGAAAATAGGAATTGCCATTGTTGAATATTATAATAAATAAATCAAGTACTTTAAATTAACACCACTAAAAGAAACCCACATCTATCTTCTTTTTATGGCTAAGCAGCATAGTAAGAGAAAATTAATATTCAAAATTCAAATGACTACAAAAGCCTACTCAAATGTATTTTTAAAAGACTTTAACACAATTTTGCAAATCCATGAGTTTGAATGGACTGCAGAGACGATTAGGTATTAAATATTTTTACTCATTCATTTTAATGTCTTAGGGCTAAAGAATTACAGGATGATTAGAAAACTGTAAAGGAAAATCTATTTTTAAAACTTTAAATGGAATAATAAAAAAAATGATCATTTCGAGAGCATGAGACAGACCAGAAACAGATGGCAGAGGTCTGTAAGGCAGGGCAAGAAACCTGCAGCAAGAATTTCCAAGACGGCACAAAGGTGGGGAACTGCTATTCAAACAGGACACATTGGTCAAATTAGAGTACATTCTAAATTTGGTTTCATGCTAATTCTCTAACAGCTGTAAGACACAAAATGCAACATATCCTACCTTTACAAGGATACAAAACTGTGATGTATGATTGCCTGACCTTTTGGTACATACATTCATAATTTTAAGAGAATTAATTATAATACACAAATTTTATCAAATGTACATTTCTAATAATGGATATTATCTGCCTCATTAAAATGAAATATTAAGATAAATGTCTTCAACTTGTGCCATGCCCTGGACCACACCCTCCTGCCTTTCACTAAATAATAAATTAGAACATAGGGGGAGCATCTGGAGAAAAATTAGAAATAAAATATAGATGTTCTGGGGAAATGTGTCTGCTAGTACTTTAAAGCCAGTTTTTGCTCAGAACTTAAGACTTCTACCCTGCGATTATTATTTTTTTTATAGTTTGGTGAGAAAATGATAAACAAATGAAGTCAATCAATACCTGTATCAGAATAGCTAACTACAAAAAACAAAATATATATGGGCAAAAAAATACCACTCAAGTCATCAATCTGATCACAAATTGATACTTGTATAACTCCCTTCAGTGTTTACCTATTGCAAGTGGTGCTTGCGATCATTTGCCTGGAATACATCAAAATTATTTCAAAGTGAAATAAAAACACAAATTTGACTACCAAAAATTCAAGCTATTGAAGGAGAAACCTCATTCAAGACTACATTTTAGGATTATAGAAAATTATGTTTTCTTTTCAAAAGGTTCCACTAATCTTAGCCTAATTCAATAATCTTACTATTAAAATTTATCAACATGTACTTTCTATATGAGTATCTCCATAGGGCTTTCAAACATAGGTACTTCTACTTTTGTTTCTGGAACACAGGAATAGTCCTGCTATATTTTGGGTCAGTGAAGATCAATGAAAATTCCTTTAGGGAAGCCTTTTGAACTGACAAAGGATGAATGATTGACATCAGCAACAAATACTTTTTGTTGTCCTGGACTGGCATGCCATTTATAGCAATACCTATGCTAATTAATGCCATATATATCTCCCAGATGTGTCAGAGAAATATGCCAGACCCTTCACAGAATATAGCTTGAGTGTGGCTAAAATTACATTATAGATATGGAAATGCATCCTTTGTGATAAGGAACTGACCTCTCTCTCTCCCTCCCCTTCTCTCTATACACAGGCGTATACACCACACACACACACACACACACACACACACACACATACACACACACATACACACACACACACACACACACACACCAGACTATAATTTCTATAATAGAAAATGACCCACTTATATGTACAGTTACTGATACTTTAGCTTCTACATCAATGAAACATTTTTTTTTACAAAAAGCAAACGCTACCATACAAAGTCCAAATACACTATAATTCTAACCCTAAAAAATACAGTACATAATGAACTAAGGTACTTGTTGAAGTCTTCACAAACAACACTATCATCATGCCACTTTACAAGGTTACGCTGAAATTCTATTCCCAGATTCTCTCAACTACATGGGTAGACAAATGAAAACTATGTATTAATCATCATCTTTTCCCCATTCACTAGAACTTGGTACCTAGTGGGTACCAGTATTTTATTTAATAAACTGCTACATTCACTAAAGTCATCAAAATTATGTATAGCATTTTTGTCAATGAATTCAATATATACAAAGTATTTTTAATGTCGGCAACTAAAACCCATAGTCATTAAATCAGATACACAGGTAAATAACTCATCTCAGTATCTGACACATCGTTAGCATTCAATAAATGTGAACCGTAATCAGGCTGAGCGCTCATCCTGCATGGGCTGGTACTGTGGTTCATACTCAATGAAATTAGTCATAGCAATCCCTTACCTTTGCAAAAGTGTGCAAGTTTGGGTAATAACTTTATATATTCACCCAGGTATCACTGATTTATTATAAGTTATCATTTTATTATTTCCTTTTATCAACAAATTGGGTTTTTTTTGTTTTCTATGATGCTGTTACATGGAAAAAGTATATTGTAGAAATTAGAGTGAACAAGATTCTATTCTTTTTTTATGAGGTTTTTATTAAAAATATAGCTAACACACAATGCTGTAAGTTTCAGGGATAAACCATAGTTATTCGACATTTATACCTAAAGAAGTGATCACCATGATAAGTCCAGCAACCATCTGACACTGTACCACGCTACCACAATATTATTGATTATATTCCTTATGCTTACATTACATCCCCATGACTTATTCTTTTTCTACCTTGAAATTTGGGCCTCTTATTCCCCTTCACCTTTTCCCCCTCAGTATTATTTTATATAAATTTCAGGTACACAGCATAGTAGTTAGACATTTATATAATTTAAGAAGTGATCCCCCTGACTAGTCTAGTACCCATCTAGCACTATACATAGTTATTACCATATTATTGACTGTATTTCCTATGCTTTACTTCACATCCCCATGACCATTTTGTAACTACCAATTTCTACTTCTTAATCCCTTCACCTTTTTTACCGTCCCCAACCCCTCCTATCTATCACCCCAACAAATCTAGTACCCATCTGACACCATACATAGTTACAACAATATTACTGACTATATTCCTTATGCTATACCCTACATCCTCATGACTACTGTGTAACAGCAAATTTGTACTTCTTAATTCCATCCCCTTTTTTTACCCACAACCCCAAACCGCTCCCATCTGGTAACTATCAAAATATTCACTGTACCTATGAGTCTGTTTCTGTTTTGTTTGTTCATTCATTTTGTTCTTTAGGCTCCACATACAAGTGAAATCACATTTCATCTGTCTTTCTCTGTCTGACATACTTCACAGCAAAATAACTTCCAGGTCCATTCATGCCGCCACTGATGGCAAGAACTAATTCCCTTCAATGGCTGAGTAATAGTCCACTATATACATGTACCACCTCTTCTTTATCCATTCATCCATCAACAGACACCCAGGCTGCCTCCACATCTTGGCCATTGTAAACAATGCTGCAATGAAGATATGGATTCACTCGTCCCCTCAAAGTAGCGTTTTTGGTTTCTTCGAATAAATACACAGAAGTGGGATTACTGGATCATTCTTTGTCTCTTGTCATGACAGCCTTTGTTATAAAGTCTATTTTGTCTGGTATAAGTATTGCTACCCCCTTTTTTCTTTTTCCATTTCGTGAAATAACTTCTTTCCATTCCTTTATTTTTCATCTCTGTGTGTCTTTCAATCTGAAGTGAGTCACTTGGAGACAGCATTATGTAAGGGTTTTGTTTTCTTATCTATTCAGCTCTCCTGTCTTTTGATTAGAGCATTTAATCATTTACATTGAAAGTATATTTGTTGATGGATATGTAGCTATTGCCATTTTATTATTTATAACTTTAATCTTTTGTATTTTTTTCCCTTCTTAAAGAAGTCCCTCTAACATTCCTTGTAATGCTGGTTAAGTGGTGATGAACTCCTTTGGCTTTTTCTTGACTGGGAAGCTCTTTATTTGTCCTTCGACTCTAAATGATAGCTTTGTGGGGTAGAGTACCCTTTTGTTGTAGGTCCTTGCTTTTCATCACTTTGAATATTCTGTGCCAATCCCTTCTGGCCTGCAAAGCTTCTGTTGAGAAATCAGCTGACAGTCTTATGGGAGCTTCCTTGTAAGTGACTAATTGCCTTTCTCTTGCTGCTTTTAGGATTCTCTCTCTGTCTTTAACTTCGCCATTTTAATTACAATGTGTCTTGGTGTGGGGCTTGTTTGGGTTCCTCCTGTTTGGAACTCTCTGTGCTTCCTGGACTTGTATATCTATTTCCTTCACCAGGTTAAAAAGTTTTCAGTCATTATTTCTTCAAACAGGGTCTCAATTCCTTGTTTTTTCTCTTCACCTTCTGGTACCCCTCTGAAGTGAATGTTGTTACACTCGATGTTGTCCCAGAGGTCTCTTAAACTCTCCTCGTTTTTGTGGATTACTTTTTCTTTTCCTTTTTCACCTGCCCTGGGTGCTCCAGCAGTGTCCCTTGTGTGGGTTGTGTGTGATCTCCTGTTATAGTAGAGCCTTGACTGCTATTGGTATGTCAGTGGGTGGGGTTGACCCTCAGGCTGACGGGCTGTGGGGTTTGCCCATGTCACAGCCTATGGGCTGCTGTGTGAGGTGTTTACCCCACTGAATGGGAGTCCCCGCATTGGGCTCCAGTGCCTGTTGAGACTGCCCTTTGGGTGTGCCACTTATAGGGCTAATTAGGTGGTTCTCTGTTGTGGTCTGAAGACAACCTCCTAGTATGTTGGCTCTAGAGCCTCTTGGGAGGGGCTCCAGTGCAGGCCTAGGTCACCCACTGCCTGTGACCAGCCAAAGAGTACCTGGTAGGAGCTACAAAGCGATCCACAGTTGTTTGCTGCC